AACACGTGTCTTCTCAGATAAAATATTATAGACACACAACAAATGACATTTCAACACGTGTCAGATAAAATATAGAAACCAATCACGGTCTCATTTTCGTTTATTGTTGTTCCATATTTACATATACATATGTGTCCATGTGTGAACACTCACTTCTGTTTCCAATAATGAAAGATTTATCATCCCGAGTTAGAATTATCTAACGGAGAGAGTCAGAAGTCACTCCAGTCACTGATTCAATCACTGTGTCCATGTGAGACTGCGACACTTTGGAACACAACCGAACCTTTACATACCGGAGAGGTCATTTTTGAGAATGAATAGACTTTGTCATAGGCTGTAGCAGGGTCCTTGCTGTTGTTCCCTTTGGAGGGGTTGGGGGCCAAGTAGGCGCAGAGTCAATGACACAGACTCTGGGAGAATGTTGAAACAACCAGCTCAGTTTACTCAGGATTAGGCAAGCCTTATATACCCTCCACCCCACCCTGGGGGGAGGTCTGATGACTGTGCATCTGCTGGTGTGACATGGCTGCCTCTCATTGGTCCAGGTCATCTCCATATCATGTTTCAGCTGCTGTTGCTAAGACCCTCAGGCAGACCCAGGCTGGCTCTCAGAAAGTATCTTTTTTACTTGTTTAGGCCGTCTGGCCCTCCAGCCCCTTAGGGATGAGTCATCCCACAATAGTAGAGGGGTTGTATGTTCAGGACAGAAGATGGACATATTGAGATGGTTTCCTTCCAAGGAAAGGGACTGCAGTCCTCAGCCTTTCCATGACCATATGCGTGTGTGCGCCAATCCATGCATTGGGTTGTCTGCTCTATCAAAGTGTTGGTGTCAGGGAAGTCTGGGTTGTTGATGAGTTGCATGATGAGGCATACTACAGTGAGATATATAGATAATATATTACATATAATTATTCTATATAATATAATTACATATAACACCTACACCATATAATTAATTATTATTATCTATAATTATATATAACACAAATAAACAAATGACCCTATGTCTCTGGACACAAAGACTGTGTCCACATCAGACCCTAACCCTGGGGCCCCAAACTGAATCTTTTTCCTCAACACTCATAGGTAACTGAGAAATAACAGATTTTGTAATTGTAAGCTGGGCAATGTTGGCACACGTCCTTAATCCCAGCACTCTGGGAGGCAGAGGCAGGTGGATCTCTGTGAGTTTGAAGCCAGCCTGGGCTACAGAGTGAGCTCCAGGAAAGGTGCAAAGCTACACAGAGAAACCCTGTCTTGAGAATAAAGTCGGTGTTGTAATAGTGGGAGAGCTGTATGTTTAGGAGAGAGGTCTGAGATATAGAGAGAGCAAACACATGACAAAGCTCAGAGTTTTCATCCCCAGTAAAGTGTGTGTGCACGCCTTTCCGTAACCATGAGTAGGTACAGACCCACACAAGAGTCCGACCATCTGGTTCCTCAGAGGATTCGTGTCTGGAAAATCTTGGTGATCGATAAGTGGCATGATGAGGGAGCCTACCATGAAAAGAAACCGTGCATGCATGTGTCATACATGATGCATACACGACCCTCCGTGCATGCATGTGTGAGAGCCTGTAATGAAGTCACAGGAGGTCACATGAGGAACACGCGTGAGCTCATTATAAGACTTATCCATTCTTTAAGTATTTAAAATGCAAATTATCTGTGTGTTTAAGCCAAAGGAAGGACAGTATTAACTGAAGAAAATATAATGATTGTTATTTTGTGTTTAGGCAAAAGGATGGATGCCGACTGTATGCAGTTCTGGCTAAAAAGTTACTTTCTGCCACATTCATCGTATCGAGTGAGTAAATTACGAAAACAATGTACACAGTACATTAATTTCATATTACTTTAGTCTTCGCTTAAACACAATATGTTGAGAAAGTAAACGAATGAAGAAAAGTTTGTGGGTTTTGTTTTGTTTTTCATAATTGTTTCATGTGATCCTACAGCAACATGGCCCAGAAGCCAGGGTGGAGATCCTTATATTACAGGATTGTGGATGTTTGAGAATACATTGTCTGCTCTCCCAGAGACCTGGGTTCATGTACAAGGAGACGGAACTAAAGGTGCGTGAAATATTCAATCTGGCTGGACAGTAGTGGTGATCGACTTCCATCCCGGCACTTGAGGGGCAGTGGCAGAGGGATCTCAGTGAGTTTGAGGCCAGCCTGGTCTAATGAGATTTCCAGGACAGTTAAGACTGCTGCACAGAGAAACCCTATCTCGAAAAACAAACAAAAACAAAACACAAAAAGAAAAGAAAGAAAATAAAAAATATTCAATCCATGTTGCTAATGATCCTTCATTTTGGCTCCACATATAAAACTCCCATAACCCCCATCAGCAATAAACCAATTGGAAATCTTTACAATTCTCTCCATCTTAAGTGATTTTTAGAACACTTTTTTTTTAAATTTCTTGAAAATAAAATAGTGAAATACGCTATGAGGTGTAAAGAAATTATTGTTGGTTAATTATATGGACTTTTTTGGTAACTGCAGTGTTTTCTAGTGTAGAGTCATATTCATTTTTATTAATAAATCTGAATAAATATTTTGCCTGATGATATAATAAGAAATCATGTTAGCCTGAAAGTTCAGCAAATGACTTATGATAACTGAAAAAGTCTTTGTTAAATCACTTGAAACTTGATGAGAGAAGGAAGAAGATTCATCCATTTTTAGTTGGACCCTCCAACAATTTCCCTATTATTCTTGATTAAATATTGCTTTTTAGAGTTGTATGTACAAGGATAAAATACACATATAGGGTTTACTGTTTCATAGGAAACATAAAAAGTGCATAAATTTGCTTTTTAATGGTACAAATTTAGTCAAATCATTTACTGTGTTTGGTGTTTCACTCATGATGCAAAAATGTATATTTAAGTTAGAATTTTGTGACACAATCCTATACTTATTATTTCACATATCATCACATAAATTAATTTTCTTGCCAATTTTTCAAATAGCCGAATATTTTGATTAAATGTCTTAAATCTTATTTAATTCTCACAAGTGTTTTCTTTCTTACTTGTAGGATACTAATGAGTGTCACTGACAACTAATTCAATGAAATATAAAATTTGTTCAATTTCATTAAACTATTTGACAGGGAAATTCTTACTTTACACATACATAAACACATTCAACAAATTCAAAGCAAATGATAGAAAACCTTCATGGTATCTAATCAAGAACAAATTTTCCTTCTCAGGATCTGGTGTCTTTTCGTTTTTATTTTATTTTGTATCAAGTACCCACTTCATCATGTACATGAAATTTGTTGAAAAGAATGGAAATGTAAGAAATTTGAGTGCAGTGTTCTGTAAGTATGATATCTAAATTAAAGTTGTTGCAAACATGTTGCCTTTGAATTTTAATATGAAAATATTTAACAACAGTTTTTAAATACTTACATCAGACCTTAAACCAAGAAGTTTACTATGTCATCATGTTTATTGGAAAAGTAACTACATTTAAATATCTCATAATATATAAAATGTATATCAGACGTGTGTCCATCAATTGATAAGTACCTTGGGGTATCCAGAATGATGACCTGGACTCCATATTTAATCATATGAGGCAAAATACCATTACTAGTCTACAAATCTGAAAACAGATATTACATTACATATAATAAATATTGAACTAATGATTGAATATGGTGTTTGATATGACATTTTAAAGAGAAATTGATTAATGAACCACCAAAAGTGAAAATGCACACCTTCCCCAATATATGGGCTGCACAAATTAGGCTTGATTGGTTTTAAAAATTATGGTTTTTTGTGTGTGTTTTTCTTGATTGGTAGGAAAAGGGTGATGGATATCAGGGGAGTTGGCAGGAATGTGATCTTAATCCACAAAACAAAATTCTTAAGACACTGTATTTAAAAATCAGTAAAGTGATACAGTTCTGGACAAGAAAATTTGAGTCACCCATATTTCAGAAGTTGACAGCTTTCTTATGGCGATCTGTTTTGACTTCTTACATGAAATGGAGCAAAAGAAACCAGTCTAAGCAAAGAATTATGGGACTTTTATGTCACCGTGACCCATCAACATGGAATTCCAGTTGGAAATATACAAGATATCCTCAGAAATGGTAAATAACTCTGCTTTGCTACTAGAAAAATATATTGATCTGTCATAAGAGGAAAATCATGAAAATTCTTGATTTCCATCCCTGAGTCTCAAACAGTGAAGTGAAAATTGTGGAGTCAATAAATTCTATTTTTACTTTGTGTATCCTGTATTTCACAGACACCTGTCTGCAATGAAGATATGGATTTGGTAAGTGGAATGTGAATAAACTCCTTCCTCGTAAGACTGAGTCCTTTTTGGTTAAATCAACCATTTTTCAAAAATATTACACTGGGAAGAAATGGGATCAAAATACATTGTGTTAAAAGTTTTGAAATAATAGTTTTAGGTTGAATCAATCATTTCGTCAAAAATACTTCATTGGGAGAAATGGGATCAAAATATGCTGTGTTAAAAGTTTTAAAATAATACAAAGAGGAGGAGACAAATCTCAAACCTTGGTAAAAACCATAAAAATATGCCTGAAAATGGTCCTTCAATATCCCTAGTTACAGATTTCTACTGCTTTTTTTTACATTTTATGTCTGTGTTTCAAATAGAAAAAATGAAGTTGAGTTAGGACACATAGTCCATTTTTTTCAGGTAAAGTAAGTAAATTTAGTAAATCAATGAAGCATTAAATATGATGTGATGATCTTCGCTCAATCACACATCCCTGTATATACTATAAAACATAATATCTTTATTGTTATTTATGTATTTTCATTGATGTTCCTAATTATACAGGATACAAAACTGAGACAACTTGCTACGTATTTGTCCATGGCATGAAAATCGCAACTTAGAAGTTGCATCCATCATTCATTCCCAATGGTCTAAGGACTTGCTTCTGTAGTTCAGATCCTTTACTCAGCGCTTTGTCTCAAATTTCTGCCCTTGACATGTTTATTCCATGCTCTTTATCTGTCATTCAGTGAATAAGTTCTTCTCCTGCCATTAAAAATTTATATAAAGTTATTTATCATGAAATCTACTTAGTATTAAATAGGAATCTTCAATATGGGACTCTTTTTTATGTACGTGTGAGTGTAGGGTGTGTAAGTATGTGTGCGAAATATGTGTCTGGTATCTCCTAAGTCATGGGCTGGTGACTAGGAGGACAGTTCTTGTTATGAAGACTTTTCCTGTGGATGAGACCTCACATCCCTTCAGAAAAATATGGCTTTCTAACACAAACATGAGGCCAACGTTGTACCACCCAGCGTGTCTCGTCATGGGGTTTGTATATCAGCATGCAGGGACAAGTAAGAACACTGAGTTCCTTTCTACAGTAAGGAAAGTGCTTTCTCGAGTACTTTGTTCAACCTTCTAGGTTGATGGCATCTTGCCACCACAGTGTAGATAAACTTTCTTCCACTCTCCTTTGTTTAGGGTCAATACCTACTCACCCTGAGTCCCAGAATCTCTCTAATTCTGCTTAAAATTTTAAAATTTAAAAACTAAAATTAAAATTAAAATTCTCCCACTCTGCATTCATATTGCCCATGTACTACCTTTCCTGTTCACTGAATGGTTTGGGGTCATGAATGGTGGTGGACTTTCATAAATACCCCTCCCACGCTCATCTTGTTTGCTCATTCACCAGCAGACCTCTCCTATTCCCCTCCCAGTTTGGTATTTCAACACTGACCTCACCTCAGTCAATGAATGTGTGTATTCTTCAACACTATCAAGATTTCGTTATTTGTAAATCTCCTATGTAATCTTTAGCAGAGAAAAATAATCATCAAAGTAGGGCTGGAGCGATGGCTCAGTGGTTACGAGCACTGGCTGCTCTTCCAGAGGTCCTGAGTTCAATCCCCAGCAACCACATGGTGGCTCACAAACATCTGTAATAAAATCTGTTGCCCTCTTCTGGCCTTCAGGCATACATGCATTCAGAAGACTATACTTAACAAATAATTCTTAAATAAAATAATTATCAAAGTGATGAGGGGACTATGGAGAACATCCAGGGATTAAGAGCACCTGTTGCCCTCACTAAGGACTTCTGCAGAGTCTTCACAATCCAAATTGGTTGACACACAACCCTCTTTCTCATCAGTAAAAGAAGGTTTTGAAACTCTCTGCAGGTTTTCATTACCATGGCACGCGTGTTGTGGATGTACAGACAACACACGCACATGTGAACCTATATGGAAAGAATAAAAATCCTAAAAACCTGACAAAAGTCAATGAAAATACTATTTAAACCCCCCCCACAATTTGCTAAATCAAGATGTGTGAAGGGTCCTGCTAGTCACTGTTCACACAAGGATGATGGTAAACTTGGAGTCTGTGTTAAAATAAATTTTCTGTAATCAGAATCTATCCTCTTCCTTGTTTCCATTCATCCCGTGTGTTCAAATATTTCCATAATATTCACCATTCACACTGGTCCAGCATCCTCAATGGCTTGGGTTCGACTTCACACAGAGAAGTGACCTGGCGGGGGGCAGGGGTAGCCTTGTTTGAGGAAAGGCCTCTATGAGATCCAGCCATAGGACAGTTTCTCATTTAGTCATCCACAGGGAAGGAGGGCCCGGCCCATGGTGGGTGCTGCTGTACCTGGGCTGGGTGGCCCTGGGTTCTGTGAGAAACAGGCTGAGCCAGCCATGGGGAGCAAGCCAGTGAGAAATCCTGCGCTGTGTGAGAAAAATAAAACAAACAAACAATAAACTAACTAAATAAATAAAACAAACAAATACTAAACTAAATAACTAAAACAAACAAATAATAAAGTAAATAAATAAAGCAAACAAACAATAAACTAACTTATTAACTAAATAAAACAAACAAAAAATGAACAGACTAACTAAAACAAATAAATAAAAAACTAACTAATAAATAACTAAGACAAACAAATAAATAATAAACTAACCACCTAAATACATAAAACAAACAAATAGTGAACTAACCACCTAAATAAATAAAACAAACAAATAATAAACTAAGTAAAGCAAACAATAAACTAACTAACTAAATAATTAAATAAAGCAAATAAACTAACTAAAACAAACAATAAACTAACTAAATAAATAAAACAAACAAATAATAAACTAACTAAATAAGACAAACAAAAAAGTAGTAACAAACTAACTAAAACAAACAAATAATAAACTAGCTAAATAAATAAAACAAACAAATTACAAACCAACTAACTAAATAAAACAAATAATAAACTTACTAATTAAAACAAACAAACAAATAATAAACTAACTGACTAATTAAAACACAAACAAATAACAAAGTAACTAACTAAATAACACAAAGAAATAAATAATAAACTAATTAAATAAATAACACAAACAAAGAAACAAATAATAAACTAACTAAATAAATAAATAAAATAAACAAATAATATACTAACTAAATGAAACAAACAAACCAACAAATAATTAACTAAATAAAATAAACAAACAAACAACAAATTAACTAACTAAATAACACAAACAAATGAACAATTAATAAACTAACTAAATAAATAAAACAAAGAAGTAATAAACTAACTAAATAAAACAAACAAACAAATAATAAACTAATTAACTAAATAAAACAAACTAACAAATAATAAGCTAATGGAATAAAACAAACAAAAAATAATAAAGTAACAAATTTCATAAAACAAACAAACAAATAATAAACTAACTAAAACAAAGAATAAACTAAAATAAAACAAACAAACAAATAATAAACTAACTAAAACAAACAAATAATAAACTAAATAAACAAAGTATAAACTAACTAAAACAAACAAATAAACAACAAACTAACTAAATAACCCAAACTAACTAACTAACTAAATAAATAAAAAAACAAACAAATAATAAACTTACTAAATAAAACAAACAAACAAACAATAAACTAACTAACACACTAACTAGTTTTCTTTCTCTATGGTTCACTGAGTAAAGAATTTCTTCATCATCTTTTTATATTTTAGGGTTTTTTTGAAACAGGGTTTCTCTGTGTAGTTTTGGTGCCTGTCCTGGATCTCGCTCTGTGCACCAGGCTGGCCTTGAACTCACAGAGATCCGCCTGCCTCTGCCTCCTGAGTGCTGGGATTAAAGGCGTTTGTCACCACCACCGCCAGGCTGAATAAAGTTTTTCTGCTGGAATGAGTGTTTAAATAAAATTATTTATTTTTGCATCTACCTAGTATTAAATCAAAACCCCCACTATGGGCGTGGCATATGCTAATGAGGGATATTGTCTGTCTTCGTGGTGATTAGGGGTGTGGTATGCTAGTGAGGCATCTCCTCAGTCTTAATGATGATTAGGGGCTTGGCATATGCTAATGAAGTGTGTGCTCTGTGCATGGTGGTTAGGGGCGTGGTATATGCAAATGAGGGGCCTCCTCTGTCTTCATGATTATTGGGGGCAAGGTGTATGCTAATGAGGGGTCTCCTCTGTCTTCATGGTGATTGGGGGTCTGGGATATGCTAATGAGGGGTGTGCTCTGTGCATGATTATCAGGGGCCTGGTGTATGCTGATGAGCGGTCTCCTCTGTGGATGATTATTAGGGGCGTGGCATATGCTAATGAGGGATGTGCTCTGTGTATGGTGGATAGGGACATGGTGTATGCTAATGAGGGGTCTCTTCTGTGCATGATAATTAGGGGAGTAGCATATGCTAATGAGGGGGTCTCCTTTGTGCATGATGATTAGAAACATGGCGTATGATAATGAGATGTGTGCTCTGTGCATGATAATTAGGTGAGTGGCTTATGCTAATGAGGGGTGTCCTCTCTGTATGATAATTAGGGACATGGAATATGATAATGAGAGGTGTCCTCTGTGCATGGTGGTTATGACTCTGTGCATGGTGGTTAGGGGCGTGGCGTATGCTAATGAGGGGTCTCTTTATTCTTTCACCATTGACTAAAAGGAGCATCCAATCTGTTCCCAAAGGCTAAGAATTTTCAGAACCCAACTATAACATTATTTCGTGGCTACTTCTTAACTATAACATTGCAGCTCTTCTGAGTTGTAATATAAATATCTGATGGGGAGGATACTTTATATATGACCCCTCTGGGGTTCATGGTTCACACTTTGAGAATGGGTAGTGTAGAATAAAAGGAACTTTGAATCTGATACTACATTCCAGCATCATCCCACCCTTCATAAGATAGACTGGGATCTTTATTTATTTATTTTGGCCTGAGGTATTCTGGGATATCCCTTTTCTTCGTTATGCCCAATATGTTCTCTGAGTCATGATCCCTTCAGCCTTCACTTTATGGCTTTCTGATCATCTTTCTGACGTGGATCTTTGAGAGACTCCCTTTCCAAGAATATCCAAGCTGGGTATCCCAGAGCCCAATGTTTGCAAACAGAGTCTAGAATGCAGGCCATCTACCTTCAAGTCAGTCACCAAACATTGAGTGAATCCACCATTCATGGCCATATCTGAGATCAAGACACAGAATAGATGAGGCAAACTTGCCAGTGATAGTCATTCCTGTTGTTACAAACAGCGTCTTAATGTAAGCTAGTCCCCCACAGATTCAAGACAACTTATGGAAATACGAACATTGCTTGAATATTTCAAGCTGATGAGCCACGATGGGATATCTCTCTACTGATGATCTCTTTTAAGACAGGGAAGTGTGACTCTTCCCACCAAGTACCAAGAAGATTCTGATATTCAGTTTTGTTCAAGAGTTCCTCGTAGTTTCTCTTTCCTAACAGGTGTCAAGTACTCCATGATTCCATGATTATACCACTTATCCTCCTTTTTTAAATTGTTTTTTTTTTGAGACAGGGTTTCTCTGTGTAACTTTGCACCTTTCCTGGATATCGCTCTGTAGACCAGGCTGGCCTTGAATTCAAAAGATCCACCTGCCTATGCCTCGTGACTGCTGTGATTTAAGGTGTGTGCCACCACTGCCCAGCTCATTCTCCTTTCTAGATAAGATGTCAGACCCATCACTTAGAACAAAGGCTGTCTCTGACTTTTGTCCCTTGGCCCAAGGATTTCAATATTTTCATTTCCATCTTACATGACACTCCCATTTGTCCATTCTTACAATTGGGTCATAATCATTTTCCTACTCAAC